GTAACATAATATAGAAGGAACTATAAACAGACAATTGTATCTTATGGATAAGTTTTCAAGCTCATTTAGAATGCACTTGCTGTCGAGTTGTTCACTTCATGTTTATTTTACAGTTGTCCAAATAATGTTTCATAATTATTAGAAATCACCGCGAATTGTGAACTATATGGTTCTTATCATCGCTTGAACTTGAAAATGCACCACACCTTTTTCTTGCAATGTAAATAAATAACAATTCAATATTATTTTATCTGTTTTAGGCGGTTCTACTCAAATATATTCGAGAATCCGGAAACGATTTACCAATGATATTTCGAATTTAATAAATATTATCAACAACCAAGAGAAGCACCTAGTGATGAAGAATGACGACGCGATTGATGAACATCTAAATTAAGTATATTTTGATGTGCATAATATGCTTATAATGTGTTATTTCCAGTATTAGGTTTTAGGATGTACTTCATATTCTAAAAATATAATCTAAATATAATATTTAATGTTCTCGTGCTATTACTGTTAAGCGTTAATTTAGTAAGATATATTTGACAACGTATTAACGGAATTGCAAATTATTCTTAGTTTACTATTAAAAATTTTAGTTCAAAAAGTGTAATTTGAAGCGCATTTTAAAGAATATTATCGGTTAATGGGTGTTTAGGAATTTTAAATCTTACATAGAACCAAATGTATACAAGAACAGTCTCCAATATACATTGGATGGGTTGTGAGGAAAAGTTCAATGTAGTGGCAGTATAATCACTATAAAGTCAGTATAAGCACATTACGCCCACTAAATTCAGCACAATTTTAGTAATGATGAATCATGAAAAAGAGCTTGAAGGAGAATAGTGCAGAAAAAAAAATAATTTATACCGGCGAATAAATTAAGATTAAACTCGAACAATTCTTTAAAACAAATTAAATATCTTGTGATAAAGTAATAGTGAATCGAGTCAATATCATGCCAATCCAATGACCAACATTTAAATATATTTTCCTTCGCGTCTCGCCGAATTTTTTTTGCATTTAACGAGTTTACTTATTATTCTAAAATTCAAAGATTCCAAGATCTTTTTAGCATATTGTAGAGCGGGTTTGGATAGGCATTGGATTCACGTTTTAGTATTTGCTAAATGCACATAATTATGAGATGTTTTCGATATTGGACGTTTAATAACGAGAAAGTAAAACACAATAGCCTTTGAAGACTCCAAACAAGAATATCTGATTCAACCTTCAATTTGGAGTAATAATGATAATGAAAATTTAAGAAGATA